TTTCCTGTAACAAAAAGCCCCACTGTGCTTGCAGAAGAAAAGGCCCAGTGAAACACAGGCGTCTATTCACCCACACATCTGGCATTCTGTTTCTTGTGGTAGGAAAAGGTGCAGGTTGGTGCTGCAAAATCTTTGCTAAATATGCTTACAGCGCGAGTGGCGTCAGACCCTTCCCGTCATCTCAGAGTGACGAGGAGAGAGAGGGAGGGCTTCGTGTCTTTACGAGTGATTATGGTGATCTGCATTTAATGCAAACCATTGGAGCTGAGCTGAAGGAAGAGGCTAAGGAGAGGCTCGGAGGGGACCTAGGTGCGAGGGTGTGTCACATGGCACTCTCCCGCGCTGGCAGATCGTGTCTGGCGCAGCGGGCGGAGTCCTGCCCTGTGATGGGGAGCAGCAGCACGTTGGCGCAGAGATAAGGTCGCCCACTAGTGTGGTCGGACGACAGGTGTGAGTTATGTTGCACGTTTGGCTTTTTTAAAGCCTTTCAGTGTTTTCAGTTCTCGCTCTAAATCACAGATTTGATGTTTTTGGGTTCTGCTAGAAACATGAGCAATGAAGTGCCAGGGATAGGTTGTCATGTAGCAGGTGGCACCGAGAGGGAAACTCTCCCCATAAGCGCCGTCGGGGTGAGGTACATTACTGTGATTGATCGGGATTGCTGATCTGCCCGAGTCTGGCCTTTAAAGACACTCACACACACCCTCTTCCCCGGGAGACCCCAGGCAGCGACCAGCACAAGAACTCACATGTGCACAGCCTCGGACTGAAAAACACACAGAGACGGATTACATGTAGCGGCAGGAATGCACCATGGAGACCACTGGCAAAATAAACCCGCAGAGTTCATCTGGTGCTATTCAAGAGGGAAACTACCCTCCTTACTTCCAAAGTGGGACTGAACTGGAAAAGGGGATGGCTGTTTTAAAAGCCAGTTTGAAATATAATGTTCTGCCAGGACAGTATAAGTGTGGAAACCTCTTGCAAACTATAGAACCGAATAAGAAAAATAGACTATTTTGTAGCGTATTGTTTTGGTCTTTCTAGAGCGAACAATAAGCACATGGAACTTAGGCAGTAATTCAACTTGGAAATAAATGCGGTTACCAGTCTTGGATGGGACTCATTGGTTTGAGTTTTCCCAGAGATTAAGGGTGGAAAATGGGCTGGAGATCCTGAGGGAACTGGCTGTTGCCTGGGTCTGGTAAAATCTCACCATGCATTTAGACGGAGATGTCACTGATTTGAAAAGCTGTACTGAGATTGGCTGCTAGCATTAAAACTGTTCTCTCAGCACCCTATAATATTAAAGATGGTATCAGGTTGAGTTAAAGGAAATATTTATGCTATGCAGAAAATCCAGATATCTTGAGGTTTGCTCTTAAATTACACCACAGGTCCTGGAGTCCTATTCTGGAGTACCTTGTCTCTTCTGGTATTTATTCCAGTTCAATTAAACAGTTTCCTTATACTTTTAAAACAGTTTCAGTTCTTAAACAGTAGACGGAGGTTAGAATTTAGCACGAATCCTGTGCCTGAAGTTGGATACCTTCTGTCTTCTCGGGTTTATTGTTTGAAAAGAACTTACAGTATGTGTCCGTGCAGCACTGCGGAATCTCATTACTGACAGTGACTCAGTCTGACGGTGTCTCTCCCGCCTCTGTCTGCACAGCGAAAACTACGGGAGAGCAATGGCTTAATACCAGGCAGAATTTAGCTCTTTATATTTTTAAAAAATAAAACCCATAAACACATTATTTGTAAGGCCTGAGTGCAGAAAACTGCTAGAAATCAATCAGGTGCTGAGAATTAAGGGATCAATAAATCTAATTGGTTAAGGAGCTCAGCTGAAGTGAAAACGTGGGGGCCAGCGCAAGGAAACTCCACATGATCCTCCTTGATTATTATGCAAAAAACGTTCTCTTGAATATTGCCTAAACGAGGGAGAAACGTCTTGTTTCTTTCCCAGATGAATTAATGTTTCCATTTTGTAATGACCGGCACAAAGTTTCAGATTCACATCTCCTAAGAGGCAGGGTGTGCTTTCGTGTGGTGCTTGTGGCTGGGCTTGTGGCTGGGCACTGCGCCGCTGGCGGCTGTGCAGGGTGTTTGTTTTGTTGCCTAGATACATCAGACCGAGAAAGGAAGTTGATCTGAGGTCATCAGGCACGTAGCTAGTGATGGCTGTCGCGAAAGCAAAAAAACAGGAAAAAACTGTTCTGGAATTGGGTAGTAACACATAAACATAAACACACTTTGGCACCATACTGTCCAAACGGCAATGAAAATATAAACAAATTCATTTTTTTCCGGGGAGTTTCATTAGAGTGGCATTGATATTACTGCTTCATGCATGATACAACAATTGCTCTACAGTGATACATTACTTTTACACTTTTTCATACCTCTCGCACATGGTTTTTTGCTTTGGGGTCTCACCATGGGTCTTTAGCTTGTGTCCTTGATCAAGCCATTGCTTTCTGAGCACTCCTGAGGCAGTTCCCAGGTCGCTGGAGCTGTTGCTGCTCAATATAAATTTTCAGGCATACCCACTGCTGAGCTACCAGTCCTGTCCAGGGCACAGCCCTCCAGAGCAGCTTTCCGAAGAAGGATAGATGAAGCTAATAGAGATTTTAGTTTTTATGACTTTCCCCTCGGCACCCATAAATCTCTGACACCAATAAGGGCATCACTGCCAAACAATTGTGCTGAAACCAGTTTTCTATCACAAAGCAGTAAGACGTATCGTTCCCTCACTGTAAAGGTGCTTTTAGACCCTTTCGACAGCAGCTTGCTCACTTCCTTCCTCTTCCCTTCTGATTTCAAAGAGCAGCTTGTTTTTAAACCTTTCAGAAGTAAACGCTGCCGCGGCGCTGGCAGACAGAAGCTTAAAAGGTTTCTCCTGCGGTAAGCGTTTTGCTGCGAGATGAGGGGCAGTATGCCTGGCTCAGTGCCCCTGCGGCAGTCCCCCTGAGGCAGTATGCCTGGTTCAGTGCCCCTGGGGCAGTAACCCTGGGGCAGTATGCCTGGTTCAGTGCCCCTGGGGCAGTATGCCTGTGTCAGTGCCCCTGGGGCAGTATTCCTGGCTCAGTTCCCCTGGGGCAGTATGCATGCGTCAGTGCCCCTGGCTCAGTGCCCCTGGGGCAGTATGCCTGTGTCAGTGCCCCTGGGGCAGTATCATTGGCTCAGTGCCCCTGGGGCAGTATGCCTGCGTCAGTCCCCTGGGGCAGTATCCCTGGCTCAGTGCCCCTGGGGCAGTATGCATGCGTCAGTGCCCCTGGGGCAGGCGATCGAGGCCTCAGTCAGCTGTGCTTTTACTCAGGCTGTGCTTCAGAGGCCTTGATCTTGTATACAGGAGTATTTAAAGACTGTGCATCTATATAATCAGTACTATTTCATAGTAGAAACGCAGTGTACTTAGGGCTCTGTGTGCAGAGTGGTCTGTGATATAATGTTAAAATAATTCCTTGCACTTATGGAGTGCCTTTGATTCCAAAGGACTCAGAGCCCTTTACTTAGGAGGAGGAGACCATTTCATCCACCAAGGAAGTAGATCATTTCTAATAACTTATTCACTTAAATTAATTATTGAAGCATACAGTATACAGACGGAAGATGTTCGGGGGGCTGTGTCAGCGTGTTAGCTGCAAGAGAACAAGAAAAGGTTAATTTTACGCTGAAAAGTAGAAAGGAGAGGAAGTAAGTCTATAGGATATAGTGTATACTGGATCTCCATATGCTTACATTTTGCTAGAATCGTTCTAGATAATGTACAGTAATGCCAGCAAACTGCTGCTTCTCCCTGTTCTGCTGACAGAGCTGTCATGTTTATTTCTTACAGAGGTCTCCATTAGTGAGAAAATAAGAGAGGAGAGCATCCAGAGTTTATGTGTTTCACAGTGCACCTGTGCATAACAGTACTGCACACAGACATTCATGTTACTGCTGCCAACAATTGTGCTGTTCGATAACAGTTTGGCTCCGATAACCCAAATAAGTGTTTTGAGTTCCCTCAGCTGTCTAAGCCTATACATTTCTACTACAGTTAAGCATCATTGAATTTCTGTCAAGGTTTGCCGCTGAAACCATATTTTAACGTCTGATGCGTGGCCCTTATCATTCTGCGCTCCGATGTGCATCGTGGCATCCCCACAAGCTCGTCTAGTTTCAGAAAGTTCTTCCCTTTGTGTCAAAACACCATCTCTCACCACATTGTGAGCTGCTTCTCCAGAGCACAGAAGTGTCCAGGTTGTCCAGCCTAGTGTGCCTGGGATGTGTTGTTTAGTCTCTATACAATAAAACACAGTAGACCTTTGTGAGAACTCTTTAATGTGACTGATGGTGGAATGAGTTCCTGGCTCTGACTGCACTTGGGCCTGTTTGGAAATATTCCCCGGTGCTTTGTCTAAACACATTTTGACTTGAGGGGAAATGAAGTCCAGTTTTAGGAGAGGAAAGGTTTTCCAGAACCTGTTTTAATCTCCTCTTTCTACAAGTTCCTGTGAGTGTCTGTCAGGGGCACACCCTTGTGTGAGTCACCTCAGGATCTGCTGCACGCTGACGGAAACATGCTCACACACAGCAGCGGTGCTGAGCGCCAGTGCTGTCAGTCTGGAGAGACAGCAGAGCACAGAGAATGTTTTTCTTATTTTAATCCCAATACTGACACACATTGATCCTGCTGAGTAATGCAAAGTGTTATTCAGGGTCAGATCTCCAGTAGAATCTAGATCCCCTAGAGAGCCCGTATGTAGCAGGTGACTCCAGAAAATCATTTTTAATAACCTAGGTCTTTCTAATCATAGTATTTAAAACCATAATCCCAGGGTTTTCAGAGACTTTAAGAGTGTCAGATTAAAATAGGTATTCCACACTTTGCTTTTCACCAATTTCATGAGAGAAGTAGCTTAAATAAACAGCTAGGAAAGTACAAGTTAAAAGGCAGATTTGGTGAAAGAGAAGATGATGCCCAGTGACGTGGCTGTTTTGCTTGGTTGCAGCTGTTCGATCGGGTTCGAGAGGACAACCCTGACTTCCACAGCAAGGTCATTCCGGTCAGCAGCGAGCTGACCCAGCCCGGCCTGGCCATTAGCCCAGAGGACGTGGGAAAGCTGACTGCCTCTATCCACATCGTCTTCCACTGTGCGGCCACCATCCGTTTTGATGAGCATTTGAAGTAAGAATCTGCTTTAATTCACAGACAAGTGCGGGGTTTTGCATGCAGGTGGTAAAAACAGGCAAACTGGGTAACACAGAGCCAGAAGCTAGAAGAGGCTACTGATGAAAAAGACTTGGGCTTACATCTCATCATGTTCTTTCCAAACAGAGCTAAGATCTAGGGCTGACTAACTCAGAGCAGTTCTTATTGACTTCACCACCAACTGATATTAAAAGGCTGCTTTGGGTTTCCATTTTTCCAGGATTCCTTCTGTTTTTATCTTTGTATTGATCATGGATTCAGATGCTGGGGGAACTGGGAGTTAGGTCTCTAGTCTTAACAAGTCTTTATGTTCTACATTGACAAGACAGAAAGTACAATATGGCTGTGCACTGTATGCTTTAATTTGTCTGGTATTGCCTGGATGAAAGTAGAGTAATTGTGTTCACCCCTTGAGAGAATGAAGTGTAAGGAAGGTTTGTGCAGCAGATCTAATTCAGAAATTAATTAAGTTTTGGGGAAGCTGGCTTGGAGGTTAGCAGGGCTTCCTCAGAGCTCTGGGTTCAACTCCAGCCGGGGTACCTTCTGTGTGGAGTTTGCATGCTTTCCCAGTAGCCCCATGGGTTGTCACCAGATGCTCCAGTTTCCAGGTGCTCTAGCTGAGGTGGTGTCTCTGAATTGCCTGGTGTACTGTATGTGTGTGTGCACTCCAATGGACTGGTTCCCAGCATAGGATGTAATCCCACATTCAAATGAAGAAGTGGCCACAGAAGATGGGTAGATATTTTAGAATACATGTTTAATGAATTATTCCAGGATATCACAGCTGGTATTGGTCGGCTCGGCAGAGTTACCTGTGCTTCTGTACTCCTCTATACCTGTGGACATGTTCAGAATCGTTTACTCTTACAGCAGGAGAAACTCAGCTCAACTCGGCTCTCACTCTGCATTAAAATACCTTTGAAACTGGCGACAGATCTCTGCTTGAGAAGATAAATAACTTCAAGGGACGAATTTTAAAATTTATGAGAGAGGTGAAATGCCTGATGATAGGAAATTCAACAGCCAGGATGAGGACAGAGTCGGAATCTCATTTCTTTCGCTGTCTTTGTTCCCAGCCTAGGACAGAGATATTGGAACTCCATTGTACAAACAAAAATTCCTGTATTAAAAAAATGTCTGTGTAACAGTGGCTTTTATTAGAAAAGATCAAACTTATTTGTAATAGTACAGAAATATTCCCGCGGAGGTTTGATTTCCACTTCAATAAAATTGAACATCTGTGAGCACATTCCTTTGGGAGACTTGCTGTTCCTCTCAGGCTGGCGTTGGTTTCTGAAACAGGCTCTGTACATTTATTGACCTCTTCCCCGAGATTCAGCAAATTGCACTGCAGCAAGGTTAACTCTTGCTATTTCTGAGTGTCAGCTCTTGAGGAAATTGGCCTGAAGCATGACGCTGGCAGCCAGCGTTCAGAGCTGTTCAGAGCAGTGCATCATGGTATTGTGTGCTGTCTCTCACTCGTGCTGGGGAGCAAGAGAAGCAAGGATACAGTCCAAGCACGACTGTGTTCACTGTAGGAATCTGTCAATGCAATGATGTTGGATGTTCCTTAGCAGTAATTAATAGTTTCTTTCAAACAAAAAAACTGATTTGGAAGTACAGTGCCTATAAAAAGTATTCACACCCCTTGGGCTTTTTCACATTTTATTGTGTTACAGCATGGAACCATGATGTATTTAACAGAGACTTTTGCCACTCCTCAACACAAAGTACTCTATAATGTCAAAGTGAAAAAAATCTAGAAGTTTTACTAAATTAATTAAAAATAAAAACAGAAAATAATTTAATTCAT